AAGAATTTATACCGTGCAAAATATCGTGCATCCGCCGACCTTATCATAAGTATATCTTACCCACCTAAGTGCCTCAACACCAGTCGGATACCTCCCTCCGAAGTTGCTCCTGTTACCTGAACACTCTAAATATCAAGAACATTCCATCCAACACCCCAAGAATCCTGACGGAGAATCATCCAGTCATCAATCCTCGACTTCTCTATAAGGTATTTATCCACACGCGAATATCCTGTAACTCTCTCTCTCTCGCGACAGTTAGATTCGATAATCTAGGGATATAGAATATGGATATATATATATCAATCCAAGATGTCTATGATCGTATATCATGTACTCCTGCTCGTTAAAATAAATTTGTTATTGTTTATTAATCTGGAATCGAGTGAATCACTTCCTCGTTTCTCTCTCCTCACCTCTACTCCGAATCCAAGCGCTCACACGCTACCGCTCGCGAAGCTTTAGACTTAACGTCGCGAGTTCCGAGTCCCCTAGAGGCTCGGTGGTGTCATCCTGACAGGGCGCCAAAGAGGTGCCGACCCCTCGGTCACAAATTCTTTTATTCGCTGTAAGTTTGTATTGAGAAGAAACACTTCGATTTGAAAAATATGAGCTATGTTATTTTGGAGCAATAGACTAGCCATATACACATAATGAAAATAGCAAGAGCATGGCCTGTGGAATAAAAATTGCACTTGTCTCAGTAAATATTTTATATCAGAATGCAGATGGAAATTTAATTTTTCTCCTGTCAAATATGAAAAATATGCAAAATTTGTTTTTTATCTGATGTTTTTCATGTATAATGAACGTGAATTAGTGCAATATCATGAAAATATTTGAGAAACAATTTTTGACAAACAATTGAATGTGAAATTGTTTCTGAAATAACATAACATAACACAAATATTTGAGAAAAAATATTTTCTGTTAGTGAACAAAAATAGTAACTGTATTATTTCAGTGATTGTTCTATTTTTCTTAGATATGTATTAGTCCATTTATGCAATCATGAATTTATTCGTTTATGTAGTAGACGTTTTGTTGTATTTAGAACCCGATGAGCATAAAAGACGACATAACATGATCAGAAAAAGATCATTTGGGCCACGTGTTGTAATTCTGCAACACGCCTAAAAATCGACGAAAAAAACTGTTTTTCAATAATAAAGACAAAAGTATATTAAATGATCATAATTTTTGTGCTATTTTGTTCATAAAAAATAAAAGCATGGCCAGGTGTTATATTTTATGTCTCTCTATTCTGGCGCTTAATGTGTTAATTACATCAGAAATTGATTGTGATATCGAAATGTAAATTTCATGAAATTTGATTTGATATTTACAAATTTAATGAAACGTAAATTTATTTTTGAAAAAGTAAATTTCACTTATAATTCAAATCGAACAAAAATGAATATGCCTGCAATTTTTACGAAACATCCTGTATGCATTTCAAGTTATATAAAATGGCAGTTAATATTTTCATGCACATTACTCATTAAAACAAACCTTTCCAACGCCGTGACTTCGATAACCAAATTTTTTCAAATATTGAGGTAAAGTTTTCACATCCAATGGTAATCCACTTGGCTCAGCAGTGCGAATAACAAGATGCTGCAGACCTGAATTTATATCGACAAGTTCATTAATTCTGTTTGTGAAAATTCTAAAATATATATATTTTTTGACAATAAAAACTTTTTGCTATGTTTAAATATTGATGATTGAAACATATTTCTATAAACTTACCTAAATGTATTGGATGTTTTCCAGTAAGTAACGCAGCTCTTGATGGGGTGCATATGGGTTGAACGTAATAATTATCTAAGAGTATCGAATTAGCAGCCAAAACGTCAATATTCGGAGTCGGTATTTGTAAAGATCCGTGATAAGTTACGTCGTTCCATCCCTATTCATAATATTATCGTTATATGATACTACAGTATATATATATGTACAGTACACATATATAATATAATACAGTAATAATAAAAAAATTCAAATTTCTTTTTGTCGACATAACTAATTCTTAATTATAGCCTCATAATAATTGATGGAAATACTTACAAGGTCATCGACTAAATAAAAGATAATGTGAGGCGGTTTTCCTTGGATGCAGGAGAGATGAATAAATAAACTTATGCAGACCCTCCACTTCATTTCGAATGCCATTGGCAGCCAAACATTTAATGGTTTAACTTCGAATGAATGCAAGTATAAACGTTCGATTGATAAGGTATGCAATATCTGTTTTCCGCCTTGTTTCTGTAGTTTGAACAGATAATTGTTTTAATGATATTTTATTAAACATGATGTAAAATAAAAATCCTATTCATATACAGTTGTTATAATTAAACATATACATTCAGTCCCTTATATCTGTATTATAACTTTTGGCTACTTTATTAACAAATAAAAGAAAAAACGCGTTGTTTTCATTAAAACATGTCAGGCAAATGAAATAATATTCCATTATAGTAGAGCATCGATTATCCGACTTAATTGGGGAATGGGGTTGGTCGGATAACCGAAAAATATAAAAAAATACATTATTAGTATAGTACAGTGTTTCTCAACGGGGGCGGTATCGCACCCATGTGGGCGTTTTTCGATGTCGAGGGGGCGATTTGTAATTTATATTTTGGGGGGAAAAACAATTTTCTGGACGTTATAGTAAAACATTATATTAAGAATAATCAGATATTTTATTCGTTATATCGTACAATAATTAAACAAATAACATTATACTAGTAACTAGTCTATTTAATGCAGTACGAATTTGGCGTTAGCCTTGTCCCTCGGCATCGGAATTTTGTAGTGAAGGGGGCGATACTACGTAACGGTTTTTATTCAAGGGGGCGACTATTCATTACAGGTAGAGAAACACTGGTATAGTATATTAGTATATCCCATATAATTAGTAGGCCTATATTAGTATAACGCTATTAACCCACTTCCCATTGAATTTTCATCGATGTTAAACCTAACAAATTTTTTTTTTTAAATAATAATCGTCGCTATTGTATCGTTAAAAATTATTTTTAAATTATTTTATTGCTCACAAAACAAACAACCACTCATAATTAGAAAATTAACCCTCGTTTAAATACTGGGCTCCCTTTCATGGTCGAGCCGGTGTTGCTAGCTAAAACACGCAAAAATTTAACAAAAATAATATTAAAGTAGCCAACACTGCCAAGTATTGTACAAACATCACTAGCGGACATTTGAAATTTGCCGACTAGAATGGTCGACTAACAGATGTGACGGTTGATCGGGGTTCGGATAATCGATGCTCTACTGTATTTTTAAATTCCAGTTTGATTACGAATCATTTCTATTATTAACCGTTTCAAAAAGCAAAATATATATTTAGATGAGGATGTTTGTTTGTTCGCTATACATTCCTACATCGTTCGATCAATCTCGGCAGTTTCAGTACATTTCACCCAAAAACATTCATTAAACTTTTATATGTGAATTAATTTCTGTCTATAATCGATTCACATGAAGTTCTTTCTATTGGCAAAAACTTTTAAAAATAATAAACTAAATATAATTCATACAAAAAAAATAGGATAAGCAGCGGTATCTCGTAGTTCGGACTACTCTAAATTCGAACGCTTCAGTTTAAATGCAAAATTAGACAAAAAATTGCGCGCGCAATGAAAAATGTGCTCGAAGCGTAAACACAATCCGTTATCTGTTCAAGTCATCTGTTGCTCTACCTCTTTCGTTATGCTTATATATTTTCAGTGCTTTATTCGGTTTTTTTGCTGTTTTTGGGTATTAATAAAAGCTGTTGTCTGTCTGTGTGAATGACTTATAACTCCTGCAATTTTTGTTTAATCGAATTGAAACTTTGATTATGTTTATTATTTGTTCTGTTGGAAAGTATAGACTACTTATTTGGCGAAAATGTTAACTATATAAACATTTTATCGATTTCGGATCAGGGATCCCACTTACATTTCAGTGACATTAGTGACCACGTGACGTTCATGCTCAACGAGGGAATTTCCCTTAAGTTCCATTTTTAAATATTTTGGCAAATGGCGCATTATAAACATGCTTCATTACATTTAAAATTTAAACTTTAAAAATGTAGCCGCATCGTGTCACATCTATAACAAATTTTTTAAAAAAATATTTTCATAATGACCACGTAAGACATCACGTGGTCATTATTAAAAGATCCGATCGAAAGTAAACGAGCCCGTTATGTAGGAAGTATTATCGCTCATCTAATTAACGTACAATACATACAATTCATCTTTGTTTTATCAACATGGAATTAAAAATACTTGCTATTTTGTCGAATAAAAAATGTCTAGGGAAAAGCGAAAGAGTAAAATTGGTCAGGTAATAAAAGAATAAGAACAACTGACAACCCTGAAAGGCCTGAAGTCTGACTTGAGCAACATCAAATAAGAACGGCTTTGTCAACGGCTGCGGAAATAGCATCACAATGTCAAGCTCGACTTGACATTGTGATGCTGTTTCTGCTCGACTTGAAGCTCATCTCAATTCTTCAATCTCTACTTTCTCATAAAAATATTCAGTCATGCTTGACGGAAGAATTTCTAGTATATACTGTATTGTCTGTTGTCTGTCAATTTTTCACAATTTCTTCCTGCAATCTTATTTTTCGACAGCTTCTAAACGTTTTGAATCCTTAGGTTTAAAATTTCTCGAACAGAACTTTTTAAACCATATTTGACACGTTCAAAGTTTAGTTGCATCTTTCCCATACAAATTATAATTTATTTTTTTACTGTTTGTATGGCGTTATATCATTTTCGAAACTCTTAAGGTATAATGTGCCCGATATGCTGTTATCCGAAGACATTACAATTTGATGTTAATTATTCGAATAAAATGTGAAATTTAAAACAAGCTTCTAAACCAATAAAATCTCACACTTAATATATGTTAAATTTCACAACTGTTATAATTAAGTCACACGTTTATGTTAAGATGCCAAGTATCACGATGTAATGTACCATCAATAAATGCAAATTTCTTTTTATTATACAGGATTTACGTATTTTATTTATGGTTCTTGTGTTTTAGTTCATTATTCGGGCAGCTAATTATGTTATTTTTATCTTAAATTATGTGAATTTGCTGCTTTAAGTTTATCGAAATGGGTATTGTTGGTGTTTGGGAATGAATTAATTCATTTTCCATTATTTGTAATGGGAAAATTTCATTCAGACTTCGAACGCCCTCTTGAAATGAATTAAGTTCGAAGTACGAGGCACCATTGTAATAAAAAAAAAAAACAAATATTATGTTCACTTAATTACTGTGACAATCATATTCTCTCTCACGGCTGCCAACGCATTTTGTGGTGGCGCTAGTGAAATGTAAAAAACGTGGTTATCATTTTAGGATAATGCATCTTTTTGCTTTGTATTAAAACAATGGTTCGATATTGCTCTTTGTCCCAGTGTGAACATAAACAGGGAGGTTATTATAATGAATAGAAAATTCGCTTTCGCAAATTAAGAAAAGCACGAGTTTCGAAATTAAAGATTGGATAGAAAATATAAAAAGTTACTCAGTTTAAACTGTGACTGTTATTTGTGATACTATATAAAAAAGGCACTTTAAAAAACATATTACAGTGCTTTATGTTTATTTCTATTTTCGTTATTACTTTTTGAAAATTTCAGTATTTCACAAATCTACTTCCAGCTTTTTACTGTACAAAGCAATGTTTCTTTTATTCAAGCAATTCTTTTACATTTTTTATAATCACGAGTAAGTAATATTTAAAGCAAAACGTGAAGCAGGTTAAATAACTTTTCAATAAATTCCACATTCTTATTTACTTTAATCACAGCAATTTCTTTATCAAAACTTTAAAAAAGACAAAAGTGTCGTTCCTGCAGACCTAAAATTGCCAAAGACATTTTAATTGGAATATAACATTTGTGTTTCTTTGTAATACAGTATGTCTCATATTTAATCAACAGTAATTAACAAAATATATTATATAGGATTAGTTTTACATGAATTATTTAAAATTCTTCATGCTAGTAGTTAATTAACAGATAAACAGATACTTTTTGGAGATTCGACGAGCTGATTTAGTAAAGATTAAGTAAATACCTCATCTTTACTAAACAGGAAAGTAGATAGACTGTACCTAAATACTCTAGCAATCAAGTTTTTAGATTAGTAAGAGACTATAAATGAAATTTGACAAATTGACATATTGATCATTTATGCAGCCTTCATTGCCAGCACAAAAAGTGAAAATTGCTAAATTCATTCATGACCAACCATTTAAGCATTAAATTTTGTTAATCTAGGAGATAAATTTGTAATTCTCCCAATTCTCTATTGCAGTTTTAGTAAATGAAAGACTAACAATCTTAAGGATTACTGCATTGGCTTCCTGACAAGATTTACTTGGATCAGGAAGTCATTGATAACTCGTTAAGAAATATAAAGATTATTTATTATAAATTTCATTTTGTTGAATTTTTCCGTCCAATGGCGGAATTATTATTAAATAAATCAAATTCTACATTTACAAAATCTACATCTTCCAGCGCTTTTCTAGTAGATATAAAGCAGAACCACCCATTGGCCAGATGGCTGAGAAGTAAGACGTCCGTGTTTCACCGATTCCTTTTATTTTTAATTGAATGTTTGAGTTTTTTAAAGGACTTTTTTACCTTTGACGGCATGAAGCCTAAAAAGGAAGGTCTGTCGTCATTAATGTGTATATGTAGTCTGGAATGCAAAATAAATGGTAATCCCTCTTGGACAGACTTGTCTTTGATTTATTTAATTATTTGTCATAAATGTCATTGATGTGTCAGTTGTCAAACAACTGAGACATCAATCTTGCCACGAATTTTGAATATAGTTGAATAATTAAATTAAATGTAACGAATAATTATATAAAAAATGCAGCCAAATAGCACTAGCGACAACTGAGGTTTCAAAACGAGTTGGAATTAAAAATTTATTAAAACAAAACTAGAAAAACTTCCATTGTTAAAACCTATTAAAGGTCGGATTAGTTGTGCAAGTCATATGAGACAGAGACGAAAAAAACTATTAATGTCAAACACTACATAACAGATGTAAACGAACGTCCACCAGTAAGATGGACCTTTGACAAGACGCTCGTATACAAGCAATTAAACATAGAAAAATTTTGAAAAGGGGAAAGATTAATGATAAAAAGGGAGAGCCGTGCCATAGACGCCAATCGACGAATCTCCTCACCTGCTACTCCCC